GGTAGATGTCCTATTAGAGAACTTGAGCTAAGGTCTAAAGTATAGATAGTGGAACTAAGATTGAATAACCACTTAGGCAACTCCGAGTTAAATTCATTTGCAGAAAGACTAAGAAATTCGAGTTTAGTAAAATTAGCATACTGAAGAGACAAACTCAAGTCTTTAAGTTGACAAGCACGCATATTGAGGAATGAAAGTGATGGAAGCATAGTCACTAATTGAAGCCAATTACTTTCCATGCTAAGATCATTATCACGAAGGTTAAGATATTCCAGTGAGGAAATGTTGGGAAGCCACTGAAGGCTATTGATAACAAGATTCCAGTTAAGTGATAAATCAAGATGACGAAGGGTTGAAGAGTTGACACACAAACGAGGAGAAATAGTTGTAGATAGATTATGACAATTATGATTATGCAGATAATCAAATTGTAATGCTAAGAAGTCATTGTTTCTCAAATTCAAGTATTCTAAAAATTCCAACTCCACTAACAACAAAGAGAGGTTAATGGAACCTGTAAGACAATTTGATTTATCTTCTTTGTCCCTGTAAATTGGAGGAATTGTAGAACATGGGAGAGAGATTCCAGTGACTCTACTAGTGATGTTGCTACACATCACTCCTTTCCAATCACAACAATCTAGTTTAGTGGACCATGAAGAAAGGACACCTGGTGGATCTGCCACTCCTTGCTTGAAGTTTAAGAGAGCATGCATGTCTTGTTGGTTGCAACGAATATTGAAGTTGCAAAAGGCAGCGTTGAACATGATTCCGCATAGAAACCATACAAAAATGATTGCATTTTGAGAGAGAAGTTTACTCATGATTTTCAAAAGAAACGAAGAGGACGATGGATGATGAATATAATGGAGAGAAACTCTATTTATAGTAATTGGAGTCTGTACAAAAGTTTCACATCCCGTAATATAGGTTAAGATATAATGAAATTTTGTGTTAAACAAAAAGGTATAGTTTATTAGCATTGCAACGACTTGACTAGAGAAACCGATTGTAACATATTTCTTGACAAAATGTGTCCTCACGAAAACAAAAGGTTGATTGATGTTCGAAATAGTCATTTTCTAGTGTTAATTGATGTTAGAAATAGTTATTTTTCGGCATCAATTAACTCCTTTAGTTTTTTACAATAAATAGTTATCTATTTTTACAATTTTACCAAAACTTGAAAAGTAAAAAACCATCAAATATAGTCCAATTTTAATATTTTATATATCCAGAACTCATTTTTAAATTTATATGAACTATAAACAAAAACTATCACAAGCGAATTATATTATAATGAATAGTGCATATTAACTATTAACTTGTGATTTTTAATTTTGATAGCTATGATTATTGTTTTTGGTAGAATTTTTTTTACCAATCCTTAGAACCCCTGTTTTAGGGGAAAAATCCCAGGAACCCTTATTTTGGATCAATGAGTGAAGTTTAAAAATTATTTGGAAAGTTAATTGTTGCATATATTTAAATAACCATAACTTTTGCTCCGGTTGACAGATTTGACCTTTTTATATATCAATTTCGGGTAAAAAAAATTTCAAGTATGTGGTAGCCTGTAAAGCCAGCTATTCCTTCTAGACTTAAAAAAAATGTCGTTTTCTATATTTCATCAGTTTATTTTGTTTTTTCAAACTTTGCAAAAATATTTCATATATTTGACTATGAATTTTGATCAAATATTTTTTTTTTGTGGGGGCTTCTCATGATTTTTTGGTGCTTTAAACAAATGTTTAGGTCATTTAGAGTTCCTATAATATACTCTCAATTTTATTCTAAGTTTGAATATATATGGTGTATGAACAACAAACAAGTTCGACAATACCAATATCAATAATATATAGCAACAAGTTCCCGGTTGACGCGCCTGTAAGGATGTCTTGTAGAATCTTAGGACTCTACTACCTATCTTGGCTTGGGCTATGATGTTTGTGCTTGTCGTGATCCCGTTTTGAGTGGTAGGAATGTCCACGAGTTTTTCCCATTTTGTGTTGAGCGTCTCTTTGAGTTTTGTGTCGAGGAGATCAATGACAACTTTCACGCAAACCTTGCAATGTTGGCGAGTTACGCTTTGGTCGTAAATTAAGTGGACCTTCTTCCTGAGAGTTAAGCTGAGGTCGGGGGTGATTTCTCATTCTCCAAGTCAGACAACTTTTGTTACAGTTCTTGAAGGTCTGCCTGGTGTGGATAGCGTAGGGCTACAAGCTTGGCATCATAGAGCCTGTGTTGTTCTTCATTTTGTTGGGTTAACGTTTGCATTTGATATTATAGGGTCTTCAAACTAGGTTGGATTATATCTCGTGAGTTGGACTTGACTTTAGGTGGTGACCATAGAAAGGTGAGGCTGGGAAAAAGTTTACTGAGACTCCATAGTGGTGTTAAATGTTCTTACCAGAGGTCTTGAACGAGGTCCTTTGGACATGTGACATAATCTGAGCAACTTTGAAGTCCCTGACGTGTACTCTTGAAGGTTGGAATGTGAAGGAGGATTCACCTATAAAAGATTTTTCGACGCTCAAGTCAATAAGAGAGTTTTAAGATCTATGAGAATAGTGAGTATCAGTATGATTATTAGAGAGTGACTAAGTATTCTCTAAGAATACTAGTTGTATTTATAAGATTAACATAGATCGTTGACCTGTGTTGTAATATAAAATAATTTTATTGAAATAATACTTATCTCAAGTAGATAATAATAATGAAATGATATCTTTATGTAAATAGTAACTATAATATCAAACTAGCAAAATTAATTATGATTGTTTGAATATGTAAATATTTTCCCAATAGATATATTTTAAACTATTCTAAGCTGAAGATACTTAGTAGAGTTCATTAAACTATATTTTTTAATATATCTATTAACATTGTTTGAATACAATTTTGAACCATGATTGAATCCTTCAACTTTTAAAAGATGTTTAATATAATAATGATTAAAAGTCATTTTTAAAAGTCTTATTTGACTGTCATCGAAAACCTATCAACAGTAACGAGAAATTGTTCTCACTCATAAAAAATAGTTTTATTTTGTGTTGGAAGTCTCACATCGACTAGAGATAAGGCCAATTCATTACTTATAAATGGGTACAAACCTCACCTTACAAACAAACCCATTTTGTGGGATTAAGTTAACATTTTGATTTTCAGCTTATTTTGAAAAGTATAAAGGTAATATATTTTAATTTTTTCTATTATTTGATTTATTATGAAGATTTTACTTTTCCTTTATTTCATATCTATCTTATTATTGAATGGCATCAACATCTCACCGAAGAATGTAACAATAATATATCGGATATCAAAATAATAATAACGAAAGTGAATTTAATTAGATTTATTGGGCAAAAGGAAGAAAGTGATATTTACTTTTGAAGAAGAAAAGGTTGTGGAAGATTTGTTTGTCCGCGAGATATGAAAATAATAATAAAGAAAATGAATTTAATTAGATTTATTTGGAATAAAGAAAAAAGTGACATTTACTTTTCAAAAAGGAAACTTTGTGGAAGATGTAAAATAACAAAACTAGAGTCAGATCAGTGCAAAGTAGGTGAGGAAAAAAGAGAAGACACTAACTCCCATTTAGATATAATTTTCTTTCTAAAGGGAAGTTTGTGGAGGATGTCAAGAGATCAATAACTCCTCTTCTTTTATTACAAAATTCAATAAAACTTTCCACGTAGCTATATACATTCACTAAGTTTAGATATAAAAAATAGTTTCTTCGTGAAAATAGTGATGATGAGGTTCGTATGGTGGGGGACAGTCTTTAAAATGGTGGAAGACAACGCAAGTTAATTAATTATTTCTGCTTAATGATCATATAAGTTGGCAAAGTATTTTGTATCTTGGTTATGTTCCATCAAATATTGCAATTCAAGTTTTAATAATTGCTGTGACAGTGATTTTGACTCTGCTCTGAACTTATAATTGAGCAATAACTTTATTTTCACATAAAGTAAACATTATATAGTTAAAATTACTCTGATTGAATTAAAGAAAAACTGGTGGCCCAGCAGGAAAAGAAACGGCCCACAACTTGAGGCCCAGTAACGTGAGACAAAAATCTCACTGGAAGCTTTTGATGGTCAGAGGTTTGGTGAGAAGGTGTTAGTGAGCCAGCTGCGAAAAGAAGAGAGAAGTGGGATCTCAATGTTCGTCAAGAAAGAGCACCGCGACGGTGGTGGATCGGAAGGAGGACGACGGGAGAAACAACCCGCAACAGAGGTAAGCCTCTTAAACTGAACAGGGATAAGAGAGAAAAGAGAAAAATCGTATATTATATGAATATGTTTTGTTATTGTATTACAGATGCTGGAAACCTTTATATATGGTTCCAGTAAGGCAGCAAAAGCTGTCAAACTAACAAACTAACAAAACCCCAAATTAGAAAACCTAGAAAACGCAAATACTGTTTACAGGAACAGTAAACCAAAACAGAAACATCGAATACATTCAATAGCCTCCCCTCAAGCTCGATGGTGGATATTCATCATTCCAAGCTTGGGAATAATATATTTGAACCTAGTCCGATGAGGAAACTTAGTAAATATATCTGCGAGTTGCCCTTCTAATCGAATGGGAAGCAAATGTAGGAGCTTGGCTTGTATTTTCTCACGAACAACGTGACAATCCAACTCTATGTGCTTGGTTCGTTCATGATAGCTTTGATTGTGGGCAATATGCCTTGTTGAGTTGTTATCACAATAAAGGACAGCAATAGCTGTTGGCTCAATGTGTAAATCTTGAAGAAGATAGTGCAACCACTGCATCTCACACATTGTAGCTGCAAGAGCTCTGTATTCAGCCTCCGTGGAAGACCTTGACACCGTACTCTGTTTCTTTGACCTCCATGAGATAAGAGAGTTGCCTAAGAAAATACAGTATCCAATAGTAGACCTTCTTGTATTAGGACATGTGGCCCAATCTGAATCACTGAAACCCTTTATCTGAGGATTAGAATCAGCAGCAAAGAAAAGTCCTTCAGCTGGACTTGATTTGACATACCTAAGTACATGTTGTAAGGCTTGATAGTGGTGCTTAGTTGGTTCCTGCATGAACTGACTTAAAAGATTGACAATAAAGCATAAATCAGGCCTAGTGTTAGTAAGATAGAATAATTTTCCTATTAATCTCCTATAATCACTAGGATTCTCCATATAATCCTCTGTTTTGTATAGACTGCTAGTATTGCTCAAATAGGGTGTAGAACTAGGTTTACTCCCTAGCATTCCTGTTTCTTCTAGGATATCCAAGGCATATTTCCTTTGGCACAAGTGTATCACTTTCTTCGATCTAGCCACTTCAAACCCAAGAAAATACTTGAGTTCTCCTAAATCTTTAATCTGAAATTGATTATCCAAAAGAGTTTTTATGAGATTAATTTCTTTCATTGAATTCTCTGTCAAGACAATGTCATCAACATATATAAGTAAGGCTGTGAAATCCGAAGGGGTTCTTTTAACAAATAGGGAATGATCAGATTTAGATTGGGTATATCCTGAAGAAATAAGAAATGATGAAAGCTTGTCAAACCA